GACCGGCGAAGCTGGACCCTCATTTTCTCGGTACCTTCTTGAGAATCAGCCTTCGCACAAGCTTTCGGACGAAGAAATGGCCTATCTCGCCGGTTCGCTCTTTGGCGCCGGTTCAGACACGACTGCTGTTGCTATTATGGTCGTCGTCATGGCTGCTGCATGCTATCCCAAGGCGCAGGAGAAAGTTCAAGAGGAACTGGATACCGTCGTTGGTCGTGACAGGGGTAAGTCAACATGTGAGCTTCATCTGAGTAAACGAATCTAAACCTGGTTTTCATAGCTCCCACGTTGGACGACTACGATTCCCTTCCTCAGGTAGAGGCGTTCATGCTGGAATGTCTTCGCTGGAGGCCCGTGACAACCCTTGGATTCGCCCACCGTGCCTTGACCGACATCGTATACGTACGTTTCCAATGCTTTGGCGTGATTCCTCAATTGATTCGCTGGTCGAGCAGAATGGCATGTGTATACCAGAAGGCGCAATCGTATTTGGCAACCACTGGTACCGAACGATGTACATTCTAGGCAAGATGCGTGTGCTGATCATCATCTTTTGACAGGGCTATCTCGCGCGACCCGAAGGTCTATCCCAACCCTGACAAATTCGATCCCGAGAGATGGCTCGACGGCGAAGGCAAAATCCGGGAAGACCTCAAGTTCCCTTCATACGGTTTCGGACGCAGGTATGCCTTTTTTGCCTGCCACGACGTCGTACCTTGGTACTGACCGAACAACGCGCAGAATCTGCCCTGGTAGACACATCGCGAATCGTTCGATCTTTATCAACCTCGTGCTCCTCTTGTGGTCGTTTAAGCTCTCGGAAGACCCGGAGAAGCCTATTGACCAATCGGGCTTTGTGGATGGCGTGATTGCGCACCCAAAACCATTCGCTGTGCGTTTCCAGCCGCGGCTTGGAGATGAGGCGTCGTTGAGGGCCGTGATGGCCAGGTATGGAGAGGGGTTGTAGGATCTTGGGCATGTGTGTGTATGACTCTGAGCTTGGGATTGGATAATGTATTGGTGCTGAGGGCTGGTATTTTGGCACGAGTGCCCTACGGCACAAATAATATCAGGACATTGTTGTTAGTGTCTGAAATAGATGTTGCATGGTCTTCGGTCCACTTAAGACTGGTATTGTCGACTTCAAGAATTCTTTTGTCGAGACCGAAGCTGATTCTTCCATTTCCAATCATCATATTTGAAATCTCATTCTAATTAAGCCAAAATCTAGAAATAATTAATTTGGTAGTCAACCAAAGGTAGATCCCCCATGTGCTGCTACCGCAGCACTCTATCCGCGGCGGGGTATGGGTTCACATGACCTCGTGTTCTTTGGATATCTTCGCGAGCTCGTCCCTTGCCGTCTTGTACATGATCCGATTAAACGCTTCCGCATTCTGATCACTGTACACCAAAAGTCAGTATGTAAAATCGAGCCCTCAACAAAAACTTGGGGACGTACTCATCAAAGTCAGCTTCAACAGATGAACCAGGGGCCACCAGGGCCACCTTCTCATAATCTTCTCCATAATCCGAGGCCCACTAGAGGAGGGATCAAATATCTGCCGCAGCGAGACAAAACCACACGAGACGTACCTTGGAAAACAGCCCCATCTTCCACGCGTTCCGTACGGCGTTCGCGTTATCCGTAAAGCAGATGTATTCATACAACGTCTGCACCTTCATCCAAGTCCACGCAGCCTGCGGCACCCCAAGCTCCTCCGTCCGACACGCGCGACACGCAGCTAGATTAGAAAAAAGCCTCGCGAACGCCTTGGCTACAAAGCTTATATGCGCAGGATCGAAGTCGCACTCCAGCCACGAAGGACCAAACTCGACCATCTGGATCGAGGGAGATGGGAGGCTGTGGTTTGCTTCTGGAATGGTTTCCTCGTATGCGTTCACAGCCTGCATGCACGCATCGACGCTGGCTTTCGTAGATGCATCGAGACACAACCCGAGCGCTTTTAGGTGGCGACAGTAGCGCGCATAGTGCACCAGGGACGTGATGCTAGCTGGAGGTTTGTACGTCTGGACGACGCGCTGGACGATCGATGATAGGTATAGTAATCGTACGGAGCGCCATGTCTGTGCGATGCGCATGTGGTCTTCGTCTGTGAGATAGAGCGGGACGCCGAGACAGGCTGAAAAGATCTCGAGATTACGGAATTGCAGGGCGGGCTCGATGGCGTGTATGTCTAGTATGAATTGGCGAGTGTCGATTCCTGAATCAGCATCCCAGTGAGCAAGATCGCTGTTTGAGAATACGGAAGTTATTATAATCTTCTGCAATGATTCCTTGGACACAGCTGCAACAACACCTAAGAGGACTAGTGCGATATCGGCATTGGTGTAAATACCGTGCATCCGTAGAATCGCAGATTGGATGGCACGATTGGCTGGGAATACGGAGAATATGCGGCTGATGATATCGGGAGACCCATCAAACGTGACGTTCTTCAGCGAGCTGAAGGTCTCTGGCGCGAAGGAAGAGAGGTGGGGAATTTCTTCGAAAGGTTTCTCGCAAGTCTGAATGGTCAGGTCCTCCAGCCTGCGAAGCTGTGATGTTAGCTCGAGGACTTGTGGCAAGGAAGCAGCAGTTATGTAGAATGCTGCATGCGTCAGACTTTGAAGACATGCCACATCCATATGATCTTGACCTGGGGTCTTGACGAGTGGCAATAACGGCAGTGCTTCGTACAAATCGACTGCAGAGAAGTGTACGAGCTTGGGCGCACGCTGAAAAATAGTCATGTACACCGACTTGATGAGATCGTCAAGGTCTAGCGGGCGATCGAAAACATATAGAGCTTCGTCAAAAGAGAGTGAAATGTCGGTCAATTCGGGTGTGATGAGCGCTGGGAGAAGACGAAGGCCAGCCTCGGACGATATGCGAAGCTGGAGGACATCTACGCGAGGAGTTAAGACGAGATTGTGCTCGACAATATCATTTATTAAATTGCGAGGGATGGGCTCGTGTGGCTCCGAAAAGGACAGAGTGCGCACGCGGTTGGATATTGAGGCATAACATTGGCGCTCTGACGACTTCAGGTCCCCAAGAACCTGCAGGAAAATCAGTAAACTAAAGGCGGCTAGCGCTGATAAGACGACCTTTGAAAGCCGACCATGCTCTTCGTTGATTTCAAGAGGAAGCAGCCGAAGAAGCGGGAGCAGGCTGTCAAGATTTTTTCCAAAGGAAATCTAATGCAGGATCTCGGAAAGTCTTGCAGACTTGAGAGACCCTGGCCATGTCCTTGATGCCCCGGCGGAGATTGAGTCCCTGGTCATCATTGTACACCTCGCGGAGAATGTGCGTGAGTAACTCGGTGATTGTGAGGGCGCGATGCATTCGGGTACATGACTGTAAAGGTCAGCATCTGAACGGTTCAAATCCTCATAAAGCGCAACTCGGAGTCGCTATCTGGTTGATATGGTGTTCCACTTGACTGACAGATTATGCCAAGCATCACGTGAGACTTTGTACGTACCTTGTTCGCCTCGATCAACAAGTGAAACATTGACCATATTCCTGATCATGAAAAACACTTGTTCCAAAGCGCGACAACCGATTATCGATTTAAATCCATATATACCGCGCCAAGAAAACTGGTTATATATGCCGCTCCAAGAAGACCGGATATATTCGATGTCGAGAACGGCGCCAAGGAGTGTATGATTGGAGGATAGGAGGATTTCGGACGATTCGATGAGGGCATCGACTTTCCTCCACCCATGATGATGAGCCAAAACTAGCGGACCCTTGATGTTTTATTATGATAACTTTCTTGGTGGTTTAGTTCCTTGCCTTCGATCTCATCTGATCCGCCCCTAACGCAAGTACTGCGGCTATTCGGTTTGGCCCAGGCTAAGCCAGAAGGAAAGAACACAATAGATGTTACTGACAAGAGGCCGAACACGGGTTACAGTAGCCGGCAGAAGTTTTGGGAGATGCGGGGAACCGATCGTGTTTGACAAGTGCACTTCTACTACTGTTCGGAGCTGGGGATGGTCGTTTCAGAAGCGAGTTACGCAGATACATGTGTCGAGGTCAATCATGATCAGGTTCCCAAGAAAAGAAAGCCAAATTTGATTGATACATTAGAATAGAGAGCAAATGCTGTCTTTCGACATAGATGGGATACATAGCATCCTCGAGATTGAAGATTCCAGATTCGTTAGCTAATTGAATTATAAACATAACGATACGCCTGAGGATGGTCGTCCTGGCTTGACCCAGGAAGGAGGCGTGTGACCTCACTATTCACAGAAGTCACCTGCGTAGGTTCGATAGTGGATGTCCTACTTCTTTCTCGTTCAAAAATGCTAGAGAGAAGGGATCATGATCCAGCCTAAATAGCGAGATAGAGACTTACTCTCTCATGACAGTAGTATTAATCATTCGCTCAGCATGCCGCTTACTCTGATTGTCCTCGTACTGATCAGTTTCATCGACGATCTCCTCTGAAATGATTTCCTGGGAGAAACGTCATGACATATACTTAGGAAAGCTAATGAATACCATACCTCGATGACATCTAGACCAAACATAAAAACTGTCAGGCAACGATAAGTGCACATGACTGGTTTTACCTTCCAGAGTGATTACACCGATCGCGCCACCGGGTGAACCAGGTGTTCGACTGATCAACAATAAATGCGCACGCCCTGTCTGACTATAAAATCACTTCCACTGTCACCTGACTTGCATGAGTAAAAGTGTGCAGTGACAGCGTACAAATAGTCGAGTGCCTGGAAGCAGTTGATTGATGGCAGAGCCTCAGGCAAGATGGTCAAGGGAAAGTGCGAGACTGGAAGTGCTCGTGCTGGGTCGTACATCAGCAACTGTCACTCAAATGTCAACAAGCTCAAAAAAAGTACGGCTTCAGATATACCTTCTTGATCAAAAGGAGGCCCTCAAATGCGAGCAGATTTCCTGGTTTGTGCACGGGAAATCGAGAGTAGCCGCTAGTGAGGCTGAAGAGGTGTGAGTGCAGTCCTGCGAAGACAAAGGTAGTGATCTGAATACATTGCGTCAATAGTGGAGTGGTCCAGAATCGTATCCGAGCTCAACATGACAACATCCTGCAACGATGAACACCCGCCATAAGTGCTGAGACCACCAAAAGGAAGTATCAGAAATACTGACACATATAGGAGTCATGATCATCTCCACGTTCTTACTGCTGAGCTCCAGGACGCCATTGAGAATGCCAATCTCATCATCGCGCAAGGGTTCTTCGCCAGTACGGTGGAATTGAAGAAAGGATTTAAGTTCAGCTTTCTTGTAGGTGTGCGTATCGTGAACTCCTAAGGCACGGTCGAGAATTTTTGCAATTGGATATGCGATGGGTGCTGTGCCCAGGCAGAGGTCACTTACAGACTCCCAGTAGTCAAAAACTGTGTGCATACCAAGGAGATACATCAAAAAAAGAACAAACGGCGCACATCGTGCGCCGATAGCGAGACCGTGTCTCACGCAAAGTGCTTGAGGTATAACCCTTTTGGTAAGTAGGTCAAAAAAGACTCCACAGTGCACGAAACATTGTACTTACTCTCTGTCCGTCAAGAAAGTAAAGATTTTATCAATTGTTTCATGGTGCTCAGTACGAATGGCGCGCGCACCCAAATATAACTGAAGACGGTCCGATCAGTTGGACTTGATGCGTGCGTGAATTTCGCTACTTACCGATAGCAGTCGTTGATATTACTATAGCGAGTAAGCCTCCTCCAATCTGATTGTTGATAAGCCTATCTACCCTGGACCAAAAACAGGGTTATATGCTGAGCATGTGCTCACCGCGCTGTCAAGAAAGATTGGCAAGCTCTCATTGATGATCTAAAACGCAATCCTTCATTACGCAAAATTATATATAAGCAATGATACGAACCACATTACTGAGAAGAAGCACCTTGAACGAGCTTGAGAATGAGAAAAATAGAGAGCAAGTATGAACTCACCACCAACACCCAGTGGCGACCGTTTTGCATGAGGTTCAACACTGACTATCGTCAACTGAAAGTTGGGTGACATCTGTCAGATACTGCACACACCAATCTGTGCATCTGTCCGCTCCGTCTTTTCTTCTGATGAGGTGGCCAACACACGAAGATGAAGTTCGTCGAGCCCCATGAGACCAATTGATAATCTGTTAAGATCAATTAGAACAACATCTGCTGGACTCAATGTGCAACCCACCCAGCGAAGATGCCCCCCGCAAGAACCAGAAGTGCGCTGGTGGCCATTTTCCACCAAAATTCAAACGAATCAGGCGAATCCTTGGTAGGGATCTTGGGGATGAACATGGCACACCGAAATCACTAGGATAGTGTGTAGATGGATGATCGTAAACTTTGACTTATAACGGTGAGCCTAGATTGCGCCCTTTATGCTATGGACCGTATGCCGCGGACATTCCAGAATTCTGAACCGAACATCTGACGCCGTTGTGTTGTTTCTATAGCTTTTATGTAAACTCGTGCCAAGTATTCGGGGCCATTTGCAACAGGTCTGCTGTCGCAACATGAAGCTAGGCTGTGAGCTGAGGGCTCTTTTTATGTTAATCTTATAGTATTTATCGATATGGTAGAAAAATTGGACACTCACCAATTGTGTCGAAGTCTTTTTTCCAACGGTCTGCCGCATGAGTGACTGATCATAAGATGACTGGTAAGCCGCAGATATTATCATATATGCCGATATATGATCACATATAGAAAAAGATTTCGTTATATCGAAATCTGGTAGCCATGTATGACGTCGGAAACCACCGTAATCGACGTAAAGCACGGGGACTCACCAATTCTTTGATGATATCACTCGTAATTGATTCTCTTGGCCTCGGAGAATTCAAGATATGAAAAATCCATTGTAGTGAAAGAATAGAAGAGCGTTTCTTAATGGATTGGCTTGGCTCGCCAAAATGTATTTCCATTGGGCATGCAGCTATGGAGTCGCGCACAGCGCACGCGAGCGTCGCGAAATTCTGCATAGCACATCTGTGACCTGTTCCGAAAGAATATTAGTGTCCCTCATCGGCGCCACGACTCGCATCGACAGGTGAGATATGCATTGTATGAGATAATAATGCGGCATGACCTCAATGCGTGCTGTCCGTTGAAAGATAAGAGTAGTGACTGTTTCCAGGACGAGTTCAACCGGTGTAGAGAAACATGTACCGTGCCAGAGCCTGCTACTATGCATGAAAGAAATGAAAGTTTTCCCAGTCGCTGCCAGGCTAGGACTTCCCTCAGAAAAATGCCGGCTTCTTCCGCTCATCCATAACTCCGATGCTCATCTCTGGTGGCCGCCCAAGTCTCGAATCGATGATCCAGCGCTTTCGCCCACTCTGCACTTTTGTAGTCCCGTCCAAAAGTATTTACACAAGCGCTATACATACTCGTCTGCGCAGTTACTCAAGAACTTGAATTATTATTGAATATCAAATTAACCGAGATGCAGCCGAAGAGATCGTGCACGTGATAAATCCTTCCCTCGCACTGATCGACACTAATCATTGCCAAACACTTTTTTCATGCCAAAAACTGCGACGAGAAGTGGGTATTACGATGAAAACATGGACGTCACAGGAGTAGACGAGGAACGGGAAGTTGATGAACTATTGGAGGACAGGACAGACACAGTCACAGATAACCAAGAGCTGATGGCAAAACTTCACGAGGCCTGGCAAATGATATGGCCGCTGCATGTCATCATAGAATGGGTTGAAAAACAGCCTCCGGTATGCCCTCCCTAAGAACTTATATATCTTCAACTCACAGCTCATCTCTATTGTGCAGTGTGCAGCGTGTGTGTCACAATCACGCAAATGCTACCCTTCATCGCAAAAGGGTTCGTTGCGTTGTGTGCCATGCGCACGTTCAAGGGCCAAACCGTGTCCACGAAAACGCCAGTTTCAAATTGAAAAATCGGCTGAAGTGCTTCAGCTGACGATTGAACAGGTTGAGCGGCTCGCACAGCAGGCGGACGCCTCCCCTGTCAAATTGCCAGTTTCCAACAAGCTATGGAGGAGTACCACCGAAAAAAACCTTCGTCGTATTGCACGCAAGTCCTTACCTGGGGGTGCGCACGCCAAGAATAATGAAGATCTGGATGCCTCGCAAATTATTTCTGCCCCTGCCCCGAATCTCGAACCTCTTTCCCCAGCCCACTCTTCTACCGTTCAAAATCCATCGCGACTATCCCAGAACGCTCCTACCAACTTAACAATAAGACTTCCATCTGCCGGCCAGGGTGCATATGAACAACGAACCCACCTGGTGGAGCCCGATCCAACACCTGAAGCTCCTATTCATCATTCGCCTGTCATTCCTCAAGACTCTCACGTCGCTATTCAGGATGTGTCACCCAACGAACGTGCGCTCAGTATTCTTTCTTCACCACCCTCCTCCGTAGCAGACGGCCCGCCATCACTTGATGTGGATGATCCATCTATCGGAGATGTCCAGCCTCAACCACTAGTGTTTCAAAATGGTAATCCAGCACCCACAGTTCTTACACTTGCTGGAATCGACGCTGAAATCGAAGAGGAATTCGATGAGATCCCGGTTGTTTTTGCAAGCGAATTGGATCGCGCTGAAGAGGAGATTGCACGACTTAAGTCTGCCTTGGAAGCACAGGAGAAGGAAGTCGCAAGGCTCCAACGTAATCTCAAACGACGAGACGAGCAACTCGAGGACATTCGCGAAGAACTTGACGAAGTCATTCATCTCCCTACTCCTCGCGCAACGCCAGCCTCAGAACATGAAAATAGTATGCGAAAGTATACCGCCTGTCAGTATGTTGCACGGACTCTGAGAGCCCTGCGCGTAGATGCTGAAACGGAGGAGGAACGAGAAGCTCTGTTATTAAAGGCAGAGCGCCATCTTGGCAGACTCGCTAATGTGGAGATGGAAGGCATATGGGATCCCAAGGCCGATGCAGACGCGCTCTTCATGGGTCTTGTCAATGGGTCTTCTGCGAGAGCTGCGAGACACATGCAAAGAGGAACGGCTAATCCTACTCCAGCCAAGATTTCTACGTCTGCATCCACGATTTCCCAGCAACGCCCGACTAAACGGAGACGACAGGGAGACTCGGATTAGCTGTGATATTATTTGATATCAGTGCAAGAGCGGTCATCCAGACCCATGTTTTGATGCGTGTACGATGTTGTACAATTGCGCACGTACAACATACGCATGTGATAGCAGATATTTAGCTTGAGTGTTGTACGAAAGTGTTGTTCGTCATGTTACTGATGATGATGTACGACCAGCTCTCTACAGTTGCAACCTGAACCTTGACGTCGACATATGATTTGGAGGGATCGGGCTCGCTAACTTTGTATCTTGTTCATACTCCAGTGTGTTTTCAGTGACCACCGCACCACTCATCGACAGGTATATACTTATGGCAAACCAATTTTGAAATTGCCGTCCTGACATATGTACAAATACCCTAGGTGCCAATCAAAACATTGTGAATGGGTACTATCATGTTCCACTTGTGCCTTACATATTCTAGTCTACTCTCTGCACTGCCTTATCTGTGATCCTGTGTGACTGCTTGCTCTGAATCCGACTCTGTCCGCTTAGCTGCTGCCGGCCTTCCATCTTCCTGCCGCTGGGACAACTTGGACCATGGCTTTGATTGAAGTTAGTTCAAGTTTATAGCTGTGAGCTGCTTCTCTAAGAAATTGCAGAGGCCCTGGTCATGATGCACATCAGGAAATTCTCACATTCCTTAATCTCCTTAATCAGCTTAACCTACTTATCTCAAAACTTGTTTGCTCTCTCTCACATTATTTACCTGGCATATTTCATATTTCTCTAGTGTGAAGCATAATAAAACATATATATCAATATACCTCAACATTTCCTTTCTGAATATATTCAAGTTGAAATGTTGGACAAGTAGATCCACCTTTCAACAAGACACTTAAGTGTATTAAGTCTGCTTAAGGACAAATAAAGTAATATGAGAATTTCCTGATGCACAAGGCCCAGCAGAATCAGGCCATATAGTGGTTTTGACATATCAAAAGTCTATCCCCGACTCCCACAATTAGTGGGAGAGGGTTTGGTGCGATGCAAACACGTTGTTTCCCTCACAAAAAAACTGTTGCTTACATGTTGTTGATGACACCTAAGTGAGACATTTGCATCCAACATAAAGTTCAGTGGTCAGGCTGCACTTCAAATTTTATCTTTTGCTTCCCATCATTATCACCTTCATTCGTGTACACTGGTGGGTTCCTTCTCTGCTTTTATTTTGGTTTGCGATGCATCTCATTATCTGCTGCAGATGTTTATAACCAAGCAGCCATCCGTTGTGGCGCGTGATGTCTTAATAACCGAGGGTCTTATATAAAGTTGTGTAAATGTAATGACACCACAATTACACTTTGGATAAGACTGCTTGCCAGTCCTCGATTAACACGGTCTACGACTTTTCCTATTTTGTGGTAGATAACGTGTGAGTTCTTGGGAGGCTCGCTAAACTAATCTTTTTATAAAGATCAACCTAGCCGGAGCTTTACTTTTCTTTATTGAAACTCAAATCTCTTGTCTAGGAATAAGCTTCTAGACACGTAATTCGGTTTCTGGAATGTATTTGCCTAGGAAATCTCCTTCTAGGCTCTGGACTTGGATACTGGAACTAGTGAGACGTGGTCTCAAATATACGAAATATGACCAAGATCGCTTGGTCTATGGACACCTGACTGTGAGACAATGGTCTCAAATATACAATATATGTTCAAGATCGCTTGAACAAAGGGGACTATAACTTGACCAAGATCGCTTGGTCTATGGGACAACTAGTGAGACGTGGTCTCAACAATATGATAGATGACTAAGATCGCTTAGTCAAAGGGCACAGAGCAATGAGACAAAGGGGTCTCAAAGACAATATATGTGACCAAGAACGCTTGGTCTATAGCACTAAATAAGTTTCTAAGGTAAGAAACTTATAATCTCAAGGGAATTCTTTTCCCTGCACTTGTCTCACTTCAAAGGGACTAACTTTGCAAGTGAAATATCTGATAGGCAGATAGCTACAAATGGGAGATCATATATTTTTGGGGGAGAATGGGCTCTCCTTATATACATTTTGTGTGGGAAAGTAACCTAGGTTCACAAACAATAAAAAATAAGGAGGACCAATCAAAATATTGGGTCAAACCCAATAAAAGAATAAAATACAAGTGAAAGATGGAGCTATGACATCATTGTGGAGCAGAACATTCTGGAATGTGGAGTAATGACATCATAATGACATCAAGAGTGACATCATTGTGGAGCAAAAGATTCCAGAACCTTCCATGAGTGAGTCAGAGTGAGTCATTGTGGAGCAGAATATTCTAGAAGGAAATGACATCATGAATGATGTCATTGTAGAGTAGAATAATCTAGAGCTTGATGACATAATATCTTTCAACAGAATACCTGCAGGAGTATCTGTGGAGTCTTATGACATCATAATGACATCATACCCTATGGGTACAATTTTATGAAGTGTCAGGTGAGTCAAAGCATCCTAATGAAAAAGTAAAGTAAAGAAACACTAGAGAAAAGTAGGTAGCAAAAATAAGACAGTTGGCAGGAATTGAAACACGGTCTTTTTGGATAGGTTTTTTATTGGCTTTGTACTTTTCTCTATGGTTTTCTCTAGCCAAAGTGAATAAGCCAAAGGCAAGGCTATACCTTAACCTTCATTTCCCTTCTCACATCAACTAGGTCTAAATGTGATTCCCATCTCACATTAGACTTTTTCCGTCAAAACGTATTCAGATCATGAAACTTGGGGAAAACTAGAAATATGGACCATGGTTTGAAACCAAGGTATGGGTTGACTAGTCTGAGGACTAAGCTAGCAGACTTTATCTTTTGAGGGTCACCTAGTATTCATGTCCATGCATGATTCCCACATCATGCAGGACAGCGTTCTTGACTATAATGATTGTCCACCCCACTCTACCCTTAATGATTTCGCCATGTACCCTCTCTATTATGATGCTTTGTATTATCCCCTGTTTCATCCTGATGTGTATGCATCTGCTCCTGGGTTTAGCTCATGGTTACAGCAATCTTTGTCATCTCACTGTTCCGCGCCTGTGCGATGTGGTCACCTCAATCCTACAGCTGTCACGGTTGTATTTGATGGTGTCTCATTGGCCATTGGAGTGGATGGTGTTTTCCGGTCTTTCACACGTTCTCATTTTGAATCTGACATTTATACCCATTGCTCAGTCTTTCGCTATTTTGCACCTTCCATTGCTGATTTATTGCCCACAGCTGCTTTCTCTGTGTCATTGAGACAACACAATGATCCTCCGTGGGTTCAATATGACGATGGGTACCGATGCCTTGTCCATGCATTTATCTGATGTTTCTTTGCCTATTGGCTGTATCTCAACACGGGCCACCCTCATTGCTGCGCATTTCTGTGACATATATGGTGAACAGCTTGCCATGGTAACGTTTCTCTGGATGTAGAAGCCATGTCAAGTGAAACTACAAGTTGTTTGGGTATGCTGTGGCTAAGCTCGCCTTTCGCTGATTTGACCCGTGCCCTTTGTACTCTGAACAACACAAACATAGTCCTTTGCATTCATCAGCAGGTTGAGTGTGTCCATTCTTTGATAGATACCCGCACTCATTGCAAGTCGTGCAATGAGCTTGTCAATGCTATACACAAGCGCGCGTTACAGCTCTGCCATGCTCACCCACATTTGTTGGCCGATATAATCACTGCACTGTCACCTTTTCTCGATCTCTCTTGGTACACAGATGGCGATATTGTGCGCCATATATTACGCACTGATTTTGGCTCTACTATCATAGACTGTCTCTCCACCACATCCTCAACTGCCAAAGAACTCAGGAATCAACGTGACAAGGTCAAATGGACCCGAAGCAATATGGAAACAGTGATTCTATTGGTATGAAGTGCCTTTCGAAGATAAAGCGTAGGGACGGAAAAGAGAGCAAACAGAAAATGAAATACATCACATGCTTCATCCTCAGATAACCTACAAAGGCTTGTCCGAGAGCATGCAAGCTACTAAGCAGCTCACCTACAAAAGGCCGGCCGACATGTGATGACGAAATGTGGTAGGGAGGGCCCATGGGTATGACAGCAGGCGGATGGACTTTGAAATAAATACATACTCCACTATGGAGTTGGGGACTGGTGGGTCACCGCCACTACGATAATTCATAGCATTGGTCTAATACATTATTTCCAACAGTTCATAGGGCATAGTAATGATATATCACAGTACAGATCCTCCACTATTCCAAAAAGAATTGGCATAGCCGCATTTTCGCATTTTTGAAACCCAGCTATTTGTCATTCCAGGATACATCCTAGATTTGGTAGGGAATATATTTGTATGTTATGACCGCAATTTTGGCTTCCAAAAGCGGAAATCATAAACTCACATTCTATTTTGGTCACCTCCTTCATATCAGGCCTCCCCACATTATTCCCACACTCTGCATTTTCGCATTTTCAGCCACCTACTGTGGGAATTACCCCAATATGGTACACTGCATAATTCCCACACTCTCCCCACCTCACTCCAGCTTCACCACCACACCACAATAGGTCCCTGTTCATATCTAAGTAGTAGTTTAGTATATATTTGTATAATATAATATAATATAATAGACTGCTTTTTTTGTTTATTTGTGTGTCTGCTTATCCTGCAGGGCTCTTTCAAAATAGGGTAGGATACCCCCTGTGAAATTGTTTCCTGTAGGACCAGACCTCAATTGAGGTAGGGGGTCTATATGTATATTTTGAGTAGATACATTATATAGCTGGCCCAGGACACACATAAGATCCTGTTACATGAACAAAAACATGGAAAATCGCATTTTTGACATTTTTGATGTTTTTAGTATCTTACTCTTGCATAAATAATCCAACCTGTTCATATATCATTAGAATAGCACATATACTTGCTTTGTATGACAAGGATCAGCTCAAAATAGGCCGGAGGTTTGAGTTAGTGTGTATGCTTGCTATTTCTACTGATAAGGTGCCCATATCTTCATAACATCAAAGTTTAATAATCAGAAACCTGGAGTATATTTATCATATATATAGTATTATAGCCCTAAATATTCATAACAATCCAACAAGAATTGAGAGCTGAGGAAGTGAAATAGATAAAAAATTGGGCATGGGAAATTTAAAGGCTCAAACATCGAAAATGGTCAGTTGAGTAAGTAGTAGAGCCTGAGGGAGATTTATGCTACATTAACCTACTCTACCACAACATCCATTCCACATGTCTTCTACCCTCAGGGCCAATTGAGAGCTGAGGGCTTTGTTCCTATTGTTAGATAGATGCTGGGAATGAAATTTTCAAGGCTATCCACCTATAAACAATAAAATGAGAACATATTTTGTGTTTTTCTGTATATGTGTAATATCTGTTGATTTAGGACAATTCAAAGAGTAAAATAAAGATGGGAATCTCTTCATATGTACTACTAGACATGTTCTGAATACACTGGAACACTTTCATATCAAATAGGCAAAAATGCGAAAATGTTTTATATCCTACCCTATTTTAAAAGGGCCCTGCAGGATAAGCAGACACACAAATAAACAAAAAAAGCAGTCTATTATATTATATTATATTATACAAATATATACTAAACTACTACTTAGATATGAACAGGGACCTATTGTGGTGTGGTGGTGAAGCTGGAGTGAGGTGGGGAGAGTGTGGGAATTATGCAGTGTACCATATTGGGGTAATTCCCACAGTAGGTGGCTGAAAATGCGAAAATGCAGAGTGTGGGAATAATGTGGGGAGGCCTGATATGAAGGAGGTGACCAAAATAGAATGTGAGTTTATGATTTCCGCTTTTGGAAGCCAAAATTGCGGTCATAACATACAAATATATTCCCTACCAAATCTAGGATGTATCCTGGAATGACAAATAGCTGGGTTTCAAAAATGCGAAAATGCGGCTATGCCAATTCTTTTTGGAATAGTGGAGGATCTGTACTGTGATATATCATTACTATGCCCTATGAACTGTTGGAAATAATGTATTAGACCAATGCTATGAATTATCGTAGTGGCGGTGACCCACCAGTCCCCAACTCCATAGTGGAGTATGTATTTATTTCAAAGTCCATCCGCCTGCTGTCATACCCATGGGCCCTCCCTACCACATTTCGTCATCACATGTCGGCCGGCCTTTTGTAGGTGAGCTGCTTAGTAGCTTGCATGCTCTCGGACAAGCCTTTGTAGGTTATCTGAGGATGAAGCATGTGATGTATTTCATTTTCTGTTTGCTCTCTTTTCCGTCCCTACGCTTTATCTTCGAAAGGCACTTCATACCAATAGAATCACTGTTTCCATATTGCTTCGGGTCCATTTGACCTTGTCACGTTGATTCCTGAGTTCTTTGGCAGTTGAGGATGTGGTGGAGAGACAGTCTATGATAGTAGAGCCAAAATCAGTGCGTAATATATGGCGCACAATATCGCCATCTGTGTACCAAGAGAGATCGAGAAAAGGTGACAGTGCAGTGATTATATCGGCCAACAAATGTGGGTGAGCATGGCAGAGCTGTAACGCGCGCTTGTGTATAGCATTGACAAGCTCATTGCACGACTTGCAATGAGTGCGGGTATCTATCAAAGAATGGACACACTCAACCTGCTGATGAATGCAAAGGACTATGTTTGTGTTGTTCAGAGTACAAAGGGCACAGGTCAAATCAGCGAAAGGCGAGCTTAGCCACAGCATACCCAAACAACTTGTAGTTTCACTTGACATGGCTTCTACATCCAGAGAAACGTTACCATGGCAAGCTGTTCACCATATATGTCACAGAAATGCGCAGCAATGAGGGTGGCCTGTGTTGAGATACAGCCAATAGGCAAAGAAACATCAGATAAATGCATGGACAAGGCATCGGTACCCATTGTCATATTGAACCCACGGAGGATCATTGTGTTGTCTCAATGACACAGAGAAAGCAGCTGTGGGCAATAAATCAGCAATGGAAGGTGCAAAATAGCGAAAGACTGAGCAATGGGTATAAATGTCAGATTCAAAATGAGAACGTGTGAAAGACCTGGAAAACACCATCCACTCCAATGGCCAATGAGACACCATCAAATACAACCGTGACAGCTGTAGGATTGAGGTGACCACATCGCACACTGTTACGACTTGGATGGTATCTGTTGGCGATGCTCAAACAGAGTGTGTGTCGTCAACAGTCGGGGACGTCCTTGGGCTGGCCCAAGGTTAGGGGTCTTACTTGGCGAGTCTTCGGCAAGTAAGATTTGACGCCTATGTCCAAATCGGGTAGCTTATGTCAAGCGGGTGCGAGACAATAAGCTATATCGGCCAAAGCTTACGACACCCGAAGGTTAATCGTAAGATCGTCGTTAATTAGAAGGACAGAAGTCCAACTAGTTAACAGGGGCTTTGCTCGTCGACGAAGTCGATGAGTAAAGATCGAGACTATAGGCTTACCTGCGAAGAGCAGATAAGAAGATAGAATATAGACTGCTGGCGAGGCAGAAAGGATCACTCTGGTGAGAGTAGGAGGTCAAGAACCAAGTAGATTCAAGTTAAGGAATATGGTACATGGTAGCGAGTTTATATAGAGGACAGGAAGTGTATTAGTGGGTGATAACTCGTACTACCAAGAAGAGTAAGCGGTAAAGGGCATAACCATAACGGGAAGGCACATTCAGGGTGAGACACGGGTGAACCAGAACGTGCTTGATAAGAAAATGAGTCAAAGGTCAAAACAAGAAGTGAAACGCGCAGGGGCACAATCGTGCAACTGCGGATCTAAGTATAAGTGACATGTGCGACTGCGCACTGAGTCAGAGATCAAAAAAGGGAAAAGGGCAAAGGGGATGCATCATGCATCATATCATGGGTTACCGTCCGGACGGTAACCTATGATATGATGCACGACGCGTCCCCTTTGCCCCGTTCCCTTTCTTGATCTCTGACTCAATGCACAGTCGCACATGCGACTTATACTTAGATCCGCAGCTGCACGATCGTGCCCCTGCATGTTTCACTTCTTATTCTGATCTTTGACTCACTTTCTTATCCGCACGTTCAGAGCTCACCCATGTCTTACCTCGAACGTGCCTTCCTTTTATATTCATACCCTTTACCGATTGCTTCTCTTGGTAGTACGAGTTATCATCCACTAATACACTTCCTGTCCTCTATATAAACTCGCTACCATGTAACATATTCCTTAACTTGAATCTACTTGGTTCTTGACCTCCTACTCTCACCAGAGTGATCCTTTCTGCCTCGCCAGCAGTCTATATTCTATCTTCTTATCTGCTCTTCGCAGGATAAGCCTATAGTCTCGATCTTTACTCATCGACTTCGTCGACGAGCAAAGCCCCTGTTAACTAGTCGGACTTCTGTCCTTCTAATTAACGACGATCTTACGATTAACCTTCGGGTGTCGTAAGCCTAGGCCGATATAGCTTATCGTCTCGCACCCACATGACATAAGCTACCCAATTTGGACATAGGCGTCAAATCTTACTTGCCGAAGACTTGCCAAGTAAGACCCCTAACCTTGGGCTAGCCCAAGGACGTCCTCGACCGTTGACGACACATGCTCTGTTTGAGCGTTGCCAACAGATACCATCCAAGTTGTAACAGTTTGGGCAAAGCCCACCGGGCTTTCAACCGAAACATGTAAGTGGGAGGTGACAAGGACAAGCTGAGATGGGCGGGCGGGCATGCAGCTCGAAGCTCTCACAAATGACATGTGTCTGGTCCGGAGAGAAAGGAGAGAAAAAGAAGTGAAAGAAAAGGAAAGAGAGGGTGTTGTACTAAGTCTTCTGAAATTTCAGGCCATTTTAGCATCTATCCCACATCGGCAGATCGTCACTGTCCCTCGGCACTCTCCCTCTTCTATCATGTTCTGATAAGATGGAGTGACGGCATCCTCTAGATGTGGGTTTGTGCGATGGACCTAGATAAGGAGGGGAATTGGATGGTGCAGGGTAAAGAGACAATGTTCCTTTCCACCATTGCTTTCTGGATAACCGGGTGGTTGTGCGTGGTAGAGTGAGCGTTTTCCTGTGAGTGCAACCTGTGTTGTGATCCTGAAGTCCGAACTCCACTAGCCCTCTTCCCCAGCCCACTATCTCCGTCAGGGTAGCTGCTACAACAGGTAATGGAGAAGGAGTTATTGTAGAGTCGTGAAATTCTCGATATATGAAAACAACATCATTGAGTCCCAGTAAATGAGGGTGATTTGGGGTAATGTAACGATCGAAAACCCAAGTGTCTGGGTGTGCAAAGGAAGGAGATGTTCCTATGATAAGTGAAGCAGCTAGTGCAGTTACTAAGGCTCCTGGAGGGATCAAATTGTTAATAGTTCTGGTATTCTCAAAAACGATTGTGTCTTCAGAGTCATCACTGAAAAAACCGCTTCCAGTGTATGTGTTACAATAACATTTACTCCTATTTCATTTTTCTTCTTTTGTAACCATAGTGCTGACTCTAGACTCATCTAGACTCGGATATTCTCTTATCAAGCGGGCTGTCCGCACTTCCCTTCTTCTTGACTGTAACATAGATACTATCTTGCGCTGCATGGCGGTTTCACCTATCTTTGCTATCTTGATAGGTTGTACTATTTTCCTATCTTTGTTACCATTCTTGTTGCGGCTGCGCCGCTCCCTTTTACCTATATAAACCCCATGTACCATAGCTGTATTCCTTAACTTAATCTACTGGTTTTTCCCTTGAATCCTCTTCTATAAGGTCTCCAGCCTTATAGTCTGATATCTGATTCTAAGACAGTCACTCATTGTCTTAGTCTGAACCCTTGATTGCGGTAGAAGTGCTAAAACCACTCACCACTGATCCTAGATAGAAGCCGTAGCGCTCGTCTAGTAGAAACCCTTGAACCAGAAACCTTCCTTGTACTAGGAAGGCCGACAAACTGTCAACTCCAACTGGTCTATCTTGACCATTGACAGAAGAACTATCCCAGTCATAACAGTATGTAGTGGAACCATCATAGACGCTACTGTCCCATACTGTGGAATTATCATTGGTGATAAAGTTGAGGGACATGATAGATGGGGTGTGTGGAATGCAGAAACTTCTGGGGGGGGAACCGTCTTATAAGCCTCGGTGAGACTTGTGTACGTAATGTTCAGTTCCCCAAGGGTATGTTGCTGAAGCGAATCTTGTGTTAGAGTAAAATACAACTAATCTCCAAGTGGCCTAATAACCTTGGTCATTTGTCATTTGTGTAAAGGTATTGTTGCCCCTTGATGTCCAAGCATGTACAAACATGATTCTGAGCTGCCCGAGGAGAGGTGGGTGGGTGCTTTGAAATAGGTAGATCAGATGGACTTCCGAACCGCAAGTACTATCGATGATATCGAGACTCGATAAGTGCGAAGAGAAGAAAGGCGTGAGTTACACTTTGCTCAAAACGGACATAGACCTTATTCTGACCACGTGCTCATTCTTCGTACTTAGTAAGAATGCAATTAATGCATGATCAGATCCGCTGATGAATTGTCCGAAGTTTCAAAGACCTAGCACTGAAGAAACGTCGCAAAATGATACAACTGCACAGCAGATAGTTGCTATGAAATAAAATGCGACATTAGATTCCTCGTCCACCTGTTACCTCCAGCGTATGGCCAGTCACATACGACGCAAGCGGTGAAGCAAGGCTAAACAGACCATCAGTTAGCCAAGGTACCGAGATATAAGCTGGAACGTACAAAAGCATGCCTGCAGCCGCCTCATCAGCAGTGGCACCTCTCTGCAGAGGAATATCCACAAAAGCTTGAACGTTCTGAGCAGCAGCACGCTGCCTTGCTCCGGGAATGCCAAGTGCGACCTTCTGACCATCAATCTCGATGGTTGCACCGTCCTCTTTTGCCGCAGTCAACCTGCATCGCTGTCAGGTGCAATAACGGAAAAATGCGATATGCCATACCGGGTGTGCACGAGGCCGTATGCAATAGTGTTCGCACGAACAGCGAATGGTCCCCATTCCTTTGCAATAGTCTTGGTGAGACCTACAACCGCAGACTTTGCAGCAGCGTAATTTGCTTGGCCAACATTTCCATGCAGACCGGACGTCGAAGAGACGTTAATGATAGAACGGTTTTCCGGTGTAGCGCTCTAGGAGCTTGTCATCACACGGGAATGACTCGATTGAATGCACTGGAACAAACCTTGACTCGGAAGTAAGGTGCAGCAGCACGAATGAGTCGGAAGGGTGCACGGACGTGGATTTTCATGATGAGGTCGTATGTCTCGTCTGGCATGGTGTGAATCATCTTGTCGTGTGTGAAACCAGCTACATTGCATGTTAGAACAGAAGATGCTTGACAACCTCGAGAGCGCTAACCATTGTTGACGATGTGATTAATCTTGCCATACTGCCTGGAATGCAATCAGAGATGAGGCTGCATACTTGTATTGATATGGCGCAATAGCACTGACTTAACGGTTGCGTCCACGATTGTTTGCGGGAAGTCGTCTGCTCCAACATCTCCTGCGACGTATATTGCATCGCCACCTGCAGCCTTGATCTCGTTCACCACATCCGCGGCCTTCTTGGCGTCAATACTAAGCAGAATAAGCGACTAAACTTTCAAGTTGTAGGCCTGGAACGCATTTGGGACTCACTCGCTGACTACGACCTTGGCACCTTCCTTTGCAAACAGCAGCGCTGCGCTGCGCCCGATACCCTACAAATACATACATTCGTCAGCACTGACCCCCTTCAGTCAAAAAACACCTTACCTGTCCGCTACCTAGCCGTACGTGGCAACATCAGACACTGTCTAGTATCACAAGTATCATGTGATACAACACAAACTCACCAGTGATGATAGCTACCTCCCCGGAGAGAAGCCCGCGTCCATGTGCATTACTGAGGTGACCAGACACTTGTGCGAGACGGTTTGCCATAAGTATATACTTGTCGGTGAACGATATGAGCGCTCATTGTGAATGGAACTGAAGTTTTTGTCATCCGGCTCGGCTATGGCCATTCCCGAAGCGAATGTCTCGTGAAATCGAATGATTTGTTCAGGTATGGGGTGACGTATAGCTTTTGTTCGGGCCCAAGGAATATCTGGCACGTTTCTCCAGTATGCTTTGTGTACATATCAATCTCACTCTAAAGTGCTTTACACTCAAGTTGGTTCGATCACTAATAGTAGCACGTCGACCGACCATAGTTATGAATAAGTCAGATCCTACTATTTATCTTCAACGCCTTGTCGACCACTAGCAATCGTGTCGCCATCCCTGCAGGAAGAATCCAGGAGATTATCCAAAATTCTCAAGAAGACTCTGACCGCCATGGTGTCCCCACCTCCACTGCCTGCGGGAGTAGCGAGCTTAAGGGACTCCCACAGCTTTTGCTTGCCTGAAAACATGTGTGATGAACAGCTGAATAACTTCAGTCCCATAAGCAGAGTCAGGGTTGTGGGCGCGTAGTACTGTCGCCGGTACCCATCATCCCGTTCCGACGAGCACATCGAGCTACCGGTAGTGATAGCACCATCAGCAATCTCACCTGGTAGAGCCAAGTCCTCTAGAAATTGAAAGTAGAAGCCAGTGGTATTTCTGTTCCATCATGATATCGCAAGTATCGTACAAGTGCCTTTTCTTCAGGTCGGGATGTGTGCCGTACGGCCGTCTTGCTCTGTGACACAGCCCATATTCTAGAGTCTATGAATCGACGTCGTACGCAAGGCTGAGAATCTGATTCAATCACAAGGCCTCGAAAATGCAGCATCCATGCCCATCCGCGCGATTCTAGTCACATCACCTCTGCTCAAGCCAAGGCCTAGCGGAGGCTGCGCTAGGAGCAAAGAGTACTCTCCAAGACAAGACGTTCTGAAAGGGAGTGCGTCATCGGTCTATTGATGATGTGAAACATCAGACGAAAGATCCTATGAGACGTAAGATAGCGTGCTTACGCAGATGACGATAGGATGGTTGTTCTTCAGATAATAGTGAATATGATGCGTGTCGAGGGATGCGACAAGTTTGCCTCTGAAGAGAGTATGGATTAGACAGCTCGCAGGGTTGATGCATGGTCCTACAAAATGTTGGAACTTAGGCATATCTCGACGCATGGCTTGTACTGTCCATTCGAACGCGCGTTATTGGGCGACTTCACTTGTTCGATCATCTCTTCACAATCGTTAATTGCAGCTCGCTCGGAAAGTTTCTCTGCATCGACCCAGAAAGACATGTGCACTTTGGTTTCCTCGAAACTCAGCGCTATCTGAAATGAAGCGCAGAAAACAACCTACTTTGAGATTTCAAATTTTGGAAGTAGAGAGGGTGAGAGGGATCTTTGAGTCTAGTTGGTGTGATAAGGTTTGTTGCGCCCGTAGCACATTCAGACAATGAGTCGTATTCTATCCCGGGTTGTGGAATATCTGCAAAGAACAGAGCCTTGAGTTCATCTGAAAGGAAGGTCGTGTGTCCGAGTCGGTCCGGACGACAACTAAGGAGTGCCAGAGAGTCTTCGGTTGTATTCTCTGTGCACTAAAAATTCGGACATCATTATCGAGTCCCACACACCAGAGTGAACATCACAAGATACCTCCGCGATGTGCACAGTCAATCCAAGACCAGCGCCCTTGACTCTCAAGAGGTGCTGAGTGAAAGATTGCATATCGCCCTTGCGTGGATCCCCACATACATCAACACCTACAACTCTTCTTCCCCTGTTCTTCATCTCAATGGCAAGACTTACACATTCCTCAACGTCCAGGTCACTCATGCGACGATCGACGGACACGATCAGGGCGGCCTGAGTGGCAGGATAAAATTCTACTTCATCAAGCACAGCTGTGAGGTACCTCTCTTGCGTCATGTGGGCTGTCGCGCGAGGTGTGGTTCGTAGTTCAAGGTACGCGCACTGAGGGCTTCCCGTGCCATCACCTGTGGGGTTCAGGAATGACTGGAGAACTGCACGAGTGGCTGTCGTGACTGCCTCTGGAGTTGATGTCAGAGCATAGATAGCGGGCATAAGAGAGAAAAAGTCATCTATTTCATCCAAGACAGCTCCAGACTTAAGTTTCTGGAGAGTGTCTGCGACCTCAGATGACTGTGTAGGTGAGTGTTGCTGTGCAAGTTCAAGAAGGGTTTTGATGGGTATAGATCCATTGAGATGAGCATGAAGTTCTGCCTTTGGGAGTGCCTGAAGAAAAAGTACGTCATCAGGGCTTAGCGATGCTAGGGCAGCAGCTGCAGGGCCCGCGATTTCGGACATTTGGATGAGACAACGGCTATCGATGAGCCGCTGTCAATTAACAACTACCCAAATCCGGATAGAAGCTTTTATTTTCGCCATGAGTGACTCGCACTGTTTGGTAACTTGAGCTCGAGTGAGAACTGAGCAGCGCCTTAAATGTCGATTCAATGATTTTGTATTAGACTCAGCAAACAGTACTTGGATTGGCTAGTGATAACCCAAGTGCGAACGAAAGTTCAAAGCATTTGGTATAATATCTAACATATATAAGCACGAGATACCGTCGGCTCGGCGTCAATTGCGAATAAACAAAGCCACTTGTGCCATACATATTCCAATCTCTATTTCCTCTTCCCACCGCCTCATCTGCCATCTTGTGCGGCCGCTTGCTCTGATTGTGATTCTGTCCGCTTAGCTGCCGCCAATCTCTTGTCTTCCAGCCGTTGGGGCAACTTGGACCACAGCTTGGATTGAAATCGAGTCATATCTATTTCCGTGAGCTGCTTCTCCAATATATGGCGAAGTCCCAGGCCGTGACGTGCGAGGCGAGGTAGAATAGATACAAACTGCAGTGCCTGGAGTGGGTCTCTGATGTCGTAGTGTCGGACATTGTGCTCCATGATATAAATTTGCTGCACCACTCATGAGCTCCTCCGGAAATGGTGAACAGAAACAGCACATACATTATTTGTCTTCCATGCCATTGTGATTGCGCCAAGTGCGCCATTGACAACAAGTCCAAAAACAGGTTGGTCTGTAATGCTGAACTCGGAAAGGAAGGTGACCGCCGAAACCAGGTACGTTTTGGTCTGGTTCATGGCGGTCGAGATCGCAGACTCGTCTCTCTTCTTATATTCGACCAGTAACACTGGGAGTAGTAGGTCCTGTCCACTAGGTTCATCGCAGAACGCATCGTTGGAAAGTATTGCTTCTTGTCTCTGCGTTGTTTGGTTGCGGTCGGGATGATGGAGGAAGGGGTTATGCAGCTGAGCTCGATCGATTTTATTGGATTCCGACACGCGAGAAGATGAGGGGACTTGAAGTGATTTGTTGGATGTGGTCTTTCGGCTGCCGCTCTTTTCGATCTGGTGTAAAGTTTCCCCAGTACTGGTATCAAGCGTCCCTGGCTTTGGACCCTGGACGAGCATAAAGGATTTTAGAAGTGTTTCTTGCTCAT